ATATATATATATATATATATATATATATATATATATATAATTTTTTTAAAGTTTTTTATTTTAAAAATATTTCAATAAATTAAGCCTTTTTTAAAATATTCTTTTGTGTGCACGCATAAGTGTTAGTAGTTGCTACGTATTGTACCTTGAATGAAATGACTTTTTAAAAACTGATACAAATGTTCATTACAAGGTCTTAAAATGCAATTGTAAATAACATGGTGTAATGGAAGACACACAGTTTTGCCAGGATGTGGAAATTTATAGTCTTGAAATTTGGAAACACAGAGTGGATCGAGGCCTTTTGTATATTTGTGCAGTACAAACTGAATATCCAACACGTACCTTGCATGTAAAGACTTGTACTGAGACAAGAGGACACCATGCTCATTGATATCATAGGAGCCCTCTTTAAAAACAAACACCACCATCCTCAGCAGAGATGGAGGATACTGGACAGAATAGAGGTTATGAGATAGAGATGATCTCTGCCACCTGCAGAAACCCAGGCCAGAAAACTCATTGGGCGTATGATGATTATGTCAGCAGGAGTGTTTCAGATCAGCATGCTGGCCAACTTTTTTTCATTTTGCCAAGCACTTAAGCACTAGTCACTCCCTCGACCACTGGTCACTGCCTCTGTGTCCCAATCACTCACCTTGAGATCATCTTCAAAGTCCTCCATGGATTCAATGAGTTTGCCAGGATGATGCTCACCAAGTGGAAATGGGTAGTCACTGCCCAGGATAACTTGATCCTAAACAAAGAATTAAGGAGTTTTATTGATTATTGTATCTCCATAATTTCTCCCTTGAGATAAATGAAGAATACAATTGATAAAAGATGTTTCACCAAAGGAACATCAGACCCAAATGACATCAAAACTATTTGACAGTCGAAAATTTTTAATTTACTATGACCATAAATAAGTTAGTACTAGTACAAGCCCCATTCAATAAACAATTGCATCATGGGTTTTGATGACAGAGAATTCCATATATATTCAATACCAAGGGGTCATGACCTGTGACCTACTTACTTTGCCCATGACAACCACCAATACATGTAGTATCAAGGCCAAGAGGTCATGACTTGTGACCTACTTACTTTGCCCATGACATCCACTAATAGTTTCAAGGTCAAGAGGTCATGACCTGTGACCTACTTACTTTGCCCATGACATCCACTAATAGTTTCAAGGCCAAGGGATCATGGCACAGGGAGTCTGTGTAGATCTGCCCCAGATATTTTCTGGGGTTGACGCTGTTCTCAGTAGCACACAGATCTGGTCGTACATTGAAGCCATGCTCTATACGGCCAATTGTGTATGGAAATGCACCTCCTGCAATTTTAAATTATGATATCCCTTTTAAACTTGTGTACACATCAGACATTAGGTGAGTATATTGATATGACAGGGAAGTAATCTAACATGACAGCATGCATTTTGAAAAGCATTAATTTTCTAATAAATCTCTATAGAACATGTACCGATATATCAAAAACAAACAGTGACTTATATTAATAGTATTCATTCCATTTTCTCAAAAAAATGTTTAGCCGCAGTCAAAACTTGCATAATTATGCATCCAAGCACAATGGATTTCACGTATAAACCATTAGAAACTGGGTTCTAAAATAAATTAATATAATTATAAACATTATTCACCTCCATGTGCAAAACAGACTTTAAGTTTTGGAAATCTCTCCAGCACCCCTCCAAATATCATAGCACATATGGCGGTGGTGGTCTCTGCTGGCATACCTGTGACATGTTATGAGAAGAAAGATAATACGCAGGGGCGGATTTAGGCCGTCTTCTGGATCTTCTGGAAGACGGTCAGATTTTCAAGTTTACATTGTCAGCCATCTAATGTTTTCTGTCGGAAGACGGTCAAAAATGGAAGATGGATCAACAAAGATAATTTGGAAGACTGTCAGAAAATATCTCTGGATCCGCCCCTGATACAAGTTACCAAAGTACTGTAAAAGTGGAAAGTCATCCATGTGTGCTACATCAGTATATAGTGTGAATGCAATGCACATGTACAAGTTCATGTGTCTTTGTGCATGTGTTTGCACACATGTATTTATAAATGCACGTGTATATGTGTGTGTGTGTGTGCAAATGGCAGTGTGTACATGTGTGAGAATTGCTGTCTGCCTGTGTGTGTGTGTTTGTCAGCGTGAGCATTATGTGAGTTGCCTGCATCCACATGTGCGTACATCCATGTACATCATACATGTGTCAAAGTGCAAGTCTGTATGCAATAACAACATACCTACTAGCCATGGCAGCCAGTACTTAGACATCCTTCCGTCAAGGTGCATGTCCCAAGGGTGAACAAATATAGACACATCATTTTCTTCTGCAGCCTAAGAGAAAAAAAAAATCAAATTATTCATGCATATATACATACATGTACATGTATCTGCTGGAAATATTGACACCTTCTGCAATTATCCCAGCTTCAGGTCAATGATTTGCTGAGTTGACCTTACGCAAAGTCAATTAATGTACAATATAAAAACTGTCAGCGGTGCGCCACCCAAATGGTACCCCTGGCCAGACACAGTACCCAAAATATCAGTGTACCACTGACACCATACCTGTGTACAGGTGCACCACTAGCTGACACCACTGACTCCATACCTGTGTACAGGTGCACCACTAGCTGACACCACTGACACCATACCTGTGTACAGGTGCACCACTAGCTGACACCACTGACATCATACCTGTGTACAGGTGCACCACTGTCACCACTCACTTTGAATACTGGCCGTAACTCTGGAGCATCCAAGTTCCAGTCATTGACATGAGACCCTATCTGTACTCCTGGAAAACCTGGAAGAAATAATAATAATAATATTAATTTATCATGATAATAATAATCTAACATCGTAAACTATAAAGAATTCCATTATGTTTGATGTATAGAAGTTAAATACTTACATCTTTTCTTTTAATCCTGGGTCCATCAGTGACGAGAGCTCATTATATGACAGTACATGTATACACTTCAAAAAACATTCAATTTAAATATGTGAATCATTAATGATTTAATAGTTTTTGAAGTGGTGTATGTAAGGTAATAGGGCCTGAAGCACATGTGCCTTAATTGGCCTTCACAAATTTAAAAGTGAACTAAGGGGCTTTAAACAATAATCTTTGTGGTATTATACTACAATAGAACATGCCACAGGGATGACATATATAGCCTACAAGTTTTTTTCTGTGATCTCGGTACATTGTTAAATAATTTTATATACTTGTGGAAGAGAAAAGGAAGCTAGAGACATAATGGGCTCTTCTAAAGTCAAACATAACCTGCAGATCTGCCAATGCTGATGAAATTCTTGGCCATACCTAGTTCATGCTTGCTCCGTTTCAGTTCTTGTACTGCTAACTCTGGCGCCTGCATGGGGAGCGTACCCAAACCAACAAATCTATCTGGGTGTTTATTAATGGTGGTGGCCAGGTCATCATTCAATATTTTACTGAGATCTAGTGTGTCCTCTGGCTTGGCCTGTGGGAGAAATGAAAAATTCAAATTAATAAGTTATAGGTGGTGAAGATCTACAAAGGATAATAGAAAAACAAAGAATTCATTTATTCACTTTGTGAATTGATCCAGGATATCAAAAATGGATGGGAGGGTATGAAATATGATTTGCCATTTTACTGCCCACTGCTGCAACAGATGCATGTACCTACATTTCATTAATTTGCACAGCTATTTTTTTAAACAAAATCAACCAAAAGGGAGAGAGATTAAAAAGGTAATCTTCACATCTATTGTCATTTAATATCTTAAAATTTAAGAAAAATATCAATCATAATTCAAAAAAAAAATACTGTTTTAGTACAGTAATTTTTTCCAACACTCACCCAGTAACTGAACATAACAGGCACAGTGGACAAAGCTTGCACTGCTACGCCTAGAAATCATAGTCAACATAAGTACAGTTTAAATATTATACCAGAATAACTTATACCAGAATAACTCACAAATAATGCAAGATGTAAAATGGCTGCAACCAGCTAGCAGATACTAAAAAAATCTTGTAAAACATAATAAGCTATTTATCTAACACTTTAAAGTAAGATGTAAGATAATGTTATACAATATAATTAGTCATTTGACCACAAATTCATATGTGTATTTAAACTTAAACATCTCATTGAACCATATAAACCCCCACCCCACCCAAACACCCCAATTAACCACATTCACCTGTACTGTCCATATCTTTTATTCTTGTCACAGGGTCCCAGCAGTTTTGGTCGACCACACGAAATAATTTCCCATCTTTCATCATATTGGCCTTTCCAGCACAATGGCCCTCCAAAGATACCCATCCTCCATAGCCATATCTCTGAATTTTTTTTAATACTAGTAAGTCAAACAACCATACTGACTTATTGTAAGTATAATCAGTAAAACTGATTATATTTACAATAACTATAAAAAACAGAAACTTTAAAAACGGCAAGAAATGTGTTTTTCACCTTTTAAAAAAATAATTATAATAAAATAAAAAAGCGCAAGGGAGTAAGAATTGCAAATTTGTTACACTTGTATTTACTAAAACTGTAAAAGAGGCAATTATTATACTTAAGCATGGAGATCCTATGAACCAGAGTTTTAACATTTTTTTAAATTTGTAATATACACTGTGTATTTCTATGGTTACTACTAAATATTTTCATTTTTTAAAACTAAAATATTTTCATCTTACATTTTTATATAGCTACCTACCATGCAGAGCATGTACATAATGCCTTATCAAGCCTTCCCTATTAATAACCAACATTTCACAGCATTTTACATAGTTATCAAAAAGATTTGTGAGGAGGAATACAGTTATCATTTTGACTTTTATGATGTTAATAACATGACAAAAAAAAGATATAGAAAAAAAAAACTTTGGCATACAAAATAATTGATACAATACCTCCTTAAGATCTGGCCAGGTTTCTGGAAGAATGTGGTTGTGGATATCTATCTTCATTGTGGTCTATTCATTTGAGTCATTTGAGCCTGCTGGACAGTGGTCACTCACATGGGTCAAATATTTCTTCAGTGTACCTGATACCATGCATGTACAAGTTGAATCTATCAAGCATTTGAGATATGCATGTACTTATACCGAATTAACCGTGAGTATATGTTTCAATTGCACTAAAAAACTAAATGTCTCTACTCTTAATAATTTTCTAAATATTTACTGCAGGTACAGGTACATGCATGTACTGGTAAAAACACGTTCTGAATCACACCTAACCAGTGACGCAATTACAGGTAGCGTTGATCGACACCGTTGCCAGTTTTTTTTTTAATCACGCAATATGACATATGGCATCCCACATAAACCGGGTCATTGTTATTTCATATCAATGATCGTCATGCAATGCCAAGAGATACTGGAGATAAAAGCACATACAAATGTATGTGCATGGCCCACGTCTTGAGGGCGTTCACCTCTTACGCTTATCTCATTGGTCGAAATAGAAAACGTAGAGACCCCAGGGGGTGAAGACAGGTGTCCAACATTCATGTGCACTTAATCAAACTTCAAAGACTTAAAAATAACGTTTCGAAGTCTTCTTAGTCGCATTAAAAAGTGCAAACTATTCCCTGCAAAATAAGCTTCATTTCAACAATATGGAATGAAAAAAAAAAAGCACCCGATTGTGTTCAAAACTTACTAGCAAAATCCCTGCAAGCATCTGTACCAGTCTTCCACAGCGAGACGTTGTGACCTAATTTCCTTACTGGAAGGTCACACCACTCAAGGTCGGAGTTCAAAGGCAAAACAAATATGGCTGATTCATAAACGGGGAGTGACTGAGTGACAGGCACAGTCATTCCAGCGTTTTATCACTCTCACTTGCTCTCATTTCGCCACGGACACCGTGCACAATGGAAGAGTTCGAAGGCAGCACAGAAAGTGACGAGCAAGAAGAGCCGATAGATCCCAGGATACAGGTATTTTGTCGCTTTTAAAATTTGTGTTTGTAATGTGTTTTGTGTTGCATGCTACAACTGTCGTGGGGTGAAATTGACAGCCTCAACGTGTTTATTATCGTGGTCTGTGACCTGAATCGGATCGCGGACTCAAGAAATAAGAGTTGTGAGGGGGTTATTTGAAACCTGGTATCTGCATTTGTATTCATGCAATGAACTTTCTTGAAATGGAATTTCGGGCATTGTAGTTCCATCTTCATTTGCTGGTATATATCAAAAGTGTTGCGAAATACAACCTCTTTGTATGTGAGCACTGGCATGTCACTAGTTCAGTTAATTATAATTAATTTCTAGTAGTACTGGGACCATATGATATAATTTTTTTGTGTGTTTTGACAGCGTAATATGTACTATATAACAACAATAATTCATCTGTTGTGATTTATGATCAAGTTTTCATACAGTTTGTCAATATACGTTTGTCAGTATATGTTTTGTTAATACATTTTCCTACAATCATTTGCTCAATTGAGTGCTCCAGCCTCACATTTAAATCGCACTCCTCTCCCAGACAAACTGGCATATTTGACAGTGATCTCAGTTGATTTGGATTGACACTTACAGTACAGTAAGCTGGCCAACAACTGTTTAAGCCTATTGATACTAAAGGCATCAAGATCTAAAAATTAACTGTCCCAGTGCTCATACAGTGGGTGACAATTGAACACTTTTACACAATTTTCCTGGTTCATTGGCTTCAGTTTCACTGGCATTTGGCGTGAGGCCAGTGCTAACACTATATTGTTATCATTCGTGTGGTGTGGCCTCATTCGTGCAATGTGGCCCACGTGGAATATAGAGTCATCAGCCACATGCAGAATTGATGATAAGCTTCAGGTCTTCTGGAAGGGGGGAGGGGGCAGAGGGGTTGGCATGGGGAGAAGGTTTGGAAAGAACTACCATTTTGACCACAAAAAAGGTCTGTTCTTTATCAAAATTTAATCTTGGTTCCATGCCATTTTTCAAGTTGGGTCAAATATTAAAGAGGTAAAAGACCCCTTTTTTTCTCTGAAAAAGACACCCAAATCCCTCATTCTAAATTACCAGCTGGCTACTTGGCCTTCGTTTATATTTTGTGGAGAAGTACATATGAACTTAAACTGTTTGGCACTGCTTTTAGGAATATATGCCAACTTGATCCCACTTACATTTATGATAAACTTTATTGTTATTTTATCAGTGAGAGTTTGTGAGTGTTTTCAGGTACATTTTAGCCTTATCTTTTTATGTATTTCATATTTCATTGTAGATTTTTCTATTTTCTATTTTGTGTTTTTTTTTTTTTTTTTTTTTTTTTTTTTTTTTTTTTTT